GCTGGATGCGCAGTGCTCCCAACCTTCAAACAATCAGGGAAGTTGATTACCATATTTGTCTAGTTTTCCGAAGACCAAGGTTTGCGGAGACAACCTTGCTGTTGGTGTGGGGTTGTTGATTCCCTATGTTGAGCTGCTATTCTTCACAAACAAAACACCGTTTCCGTTTTCGTCTGGTGTTTTCTGGAAAGGATAATTGGACAGTGTGAAGTTTAACCATGAAGTTGCCCCCTGGAGTTGTGAGTGGTTGTTTCCCACCCCATCCACTTTTGGATATTTTTGTGCATGGGCGGAAAGACAAAGGTGCGAACAACGCATTTCAGAGGTGTTTCTGAAGGTTCTGCGGAGGTTCTAGGCCTGTTGGGCATGCTCAGGCTATGCTTATTTAGCTTTTGCTTGGCGGGGGTTTCCTGAGAAACATCAACCACCAGAACGACTGTTCCCATTCTCCGACGGCCACCAGAGTCTGTTCCGGTTTGCCAAGGGACGGAATCTTCCAATGGATGCCCCACGCTGGTTTTCCTTTTTTTGGTGTTTTATTTGGATGTGCCCGCAAAGCTTCCCAGTTTTGACACATCCAGATGTGTGTTTGCCTTGTTTTGACGGTACCCATGTGACCGGGAAACCAAGGGCAAACCACTGAGACAACCCCATTTCGTTCGCTCTTTGTACCTTTGGTCGGCTTGAAACCTTCAAACACTGTCAGGTCTCACGGCAATTCGATTCATGGGTAAAGCAAGAAGAGGTCATGAAGGTCCCTTAAGCATTTCTTCATTCTTGTGTATGAATGGTAGCAATTGGTGCAGAGGGCTGTGGGACTTGTGGTTTTCGAGAGGGTGCAGAGAGTCCCAAAGTAGTTGCCAAAGGCAGCCCAAAAGCGCCCAAAGTGGGTCCGGCCATGATAAAGGAACCCTTCATACATGTTTCCGCCGTGGATATGAGGGAACGAGTCTGAGACTCACGACTGCCCCGGCCACCTACCAACTCGCCATGGGAAACACATATCAAAGTGTGCCGTTTGTCCCATGCACCAATGGTCACCAAGCCCCGTGCCCGGCCAGATCAGATCAAGACCTTCTGGAACGCAAGCCGCATAGCGCTGGGCTTTGAGGCACCGAATGGATTTTTTGGTTTGATGGCGACAGCGGAAGGTGCAGTGGATGCGGCAACTATTGCAAGTAAGCCAGCCACGCTCGACCACACGACCAAAATTAGGCTAAACCCTGTTCCCTCACTTGCAATACTTCCACCGTATGGCAGAGGGGGGGGTGCCTGAACATTGTTTCGCACCAGAGAAATGTGGATCATATTTTCCGAAAGATTTGGCTCCTTCACTATTTTGGGACAGACCCCCTTTTTGGGCACGCTCGCAGAAAGCCATAATATCTGTAAGTCAATGCTGCAAGGAGCGCCTAGGACCGCACAGGGAGCCCAAGTTTATGCGAATGGCCTTCTGGGAATCTGCTTAAACGTGACATCGCGTACTCATAGAGGGAGGGCCCAGTTTCGTATCACTCGTGAAGGAATTCCAAAAAGGGGTGTGGGCCCTCGCCTAATCAACCAGGGTCGATGTCTTCCCGGGTTTCCGTTACCTCCAACAAAAATGCACTAGCACCTTCGGTGGGGAAGTGTACATTTCTCCAAGTGTTGGTCTCAACAGGACAACTACCCGTATTCGGGCTCTTGCAGCTTCTCGCTTGACGTGTTCAATATAAGAAATCCGGTCCCCAATAGATGGTAAAGCCCAAACATGGGTTCCTGTTGTTTTGAGTACGCCCAGTGGATCCCTTGGCTGCCGAAAAATGGAAGTCAGAAGGGCGCTGCTTGCAACTGGGAGGTTGGTGTGGGTATGCCTCAAACTAGGGGGGGAGGCGCAATTGTTCGGGCGGTTTTCTCTTGGTTTCCTGTTAAAGCAACCCCATTTCTTGGATAGACGTACTTGAGGGCATGCGTGAAACCGAGCCAGGAAATGGAAGCCTACGAGTCCGAGGGGGAGTGCCCTACACTTCGCTTCACGCCGGAGGTGTCAGCAAGGGTCGTTTAAGTTATTTATGAAAATGTTGTCACCTTCGGTCGATTTATAGTGTTGTTATCTAGCAGATTGACATTTGTCTTAATTGTGTTTTTTGGCGACTGAATCCTTGTTTTTGTTTTTTTATAGATGGTCAATTTCGATAGACACATTTATATCTTATTTATGTGTATTGACATGTAATTAGTGTTTTGTTTAAGAGCACAATCACATAAAACACATCAGCATCTGATTGTTATGGTACCTCTCTGTACACTGTTTGTTGTTTCGTGTTCATCTTATTGTAAATGTGTTGTATCATTATTCTTCGTTGTTCGTGTCTAATCCATCTCTTCCATCTTTCCAAATCCCAAGGTGTTACACAGTTGTAGATGGTGAACCTGATGGAGTAGAACGGGATAGAGAGATGGCTTCTAAGACTATAGCCACAGCATATGATATTGGATTTTGTCCGGTAGAAACATTGCTTGACGAGGAACAATTAATCAGCTTAAACCAAGATGATAATGATGCACATAAGATTAACTCTCATGGATTATTGAGTAATAATTCCATTTACCATTGTGACCCAACAGATTAACTCCTAGAGACAGATGATGGGTCTCTCCGTTCCCTTTCGATTGCATACTATGTGCGCGCTCGCGATGGAAAGGTCTGGTCGGGAGATAGAGATGGGGAAGTGAGCGAACCATTCTCAGAACAATCGCCAGTCAAGGAAGGTCCAACCTTTTCCGTGTCCTTTTTCCTCCTCTTTGGACAACACCGCTAGGCGAACATTCCCAGAGGTCGAAAGAAGAGTCTGGAAGAAAGCCAAATTATGCCAAGGAATAGAGACCCAGCTGGTTGGAACCTGACAGGAGATCCGTTTGGGAGCAAATCAGTGCTCTAAGCACGCTGCCGGGTGCTTTGCTAGTGGGAGAATATGTATCGGAAGCAATCTCAAACACATCCAACGTGTAGGGATCTTTCTGGCTAATTCCAGTAGGGCACCAGCAGGAATCCGTTGCGACTGGGCCTTTAGCGCCTTTCACTTGGAGGATCCTTGGCGGTTCTTACTACCTGCATGGACAACCCAGGGCCCTCCTTCCACACCCCCAGGCGCTTCAAACCCAACGTGTGACGCAGAGGTACGCCGCCTCTGCGATGGTTGTGGATGACGACACGGTCGTTGTGGGGGCCAAAGAGCGGCATGTGACAACGAGACGGAACCCGACGTACGGAAGGGCCTAGTCCCAATAAAGGGAATGGTTCCTACTGTGGATGGTTGCGAAATCCGTTTCGCTCCACATAGAATCCATGGTTGAAGCCATAACGTTTGTTTGTACTTACAGGTGCCTTTGATCTGTGAACCAAGTCAGATCCTTGAGAACCTCAATGCCAATTGTTGATATGTTTAGTTGTTTGGCTCCTCAGTTCTGTCGCCATGTCGAGGAGGCTGCAAAGAATATGCCCGTTTTCCCAGGGGATCCCAATCGGTTCATTCCCAACATTGGCAGGTTCATCCTTTTCCCCTCAACACCAACCAAAGCGGCCTATCGACCACTGTTAAACTGGACTTCGTGATTTTGCTCCCAGCGGGCCCTCCACAACTAGGTCCCCCAGTAGTGCCCTTTTACCCTTTTTCGGGCAAAAATTCCCCTACTAAAGGAAGTAGACTACAGAAAAACGGGTTCCCTTATTCTATCCTCTCTACTGGAGGACCTAGACGTGGGGACGGCATCCGTGGGGACCCAACCCAATCCTTCCCCCCCCCCCCGCTCGACCGCTCGACCGCTCGACCGCTGAAGACACGAGGTCTCAAGTCCTGTGGCCTTCAAGACCAAGTGCTGCAAGGCGCGGAGGTCGGAACCAGACCCCCCCCCAAAGAGAGGCCGCATCTTTTGGGTTCCCAAACCAAGGTGCACTGGGAACCAAGGTGAAAAGGGTACCCCAAAGAAACACAACACAACTGACTGGAACCAGATGATGAACCATGTGTTGGATGCTTCTGAAAGGGACAGACAACGGACATTTCCAGCTTGATGACTCAATTCCTGAAACATGGTCTGGAATGTCCATTTGCTTGCCTCTGAAATCGACTCTACATGAGTGTTGGGTTCAAAGGGCTTGTCCTCCAAACAAAAAGCGAGCAACCCAACCACGGCTTCAAAATACACACTCAACCTCTGACTCTTCAGTTGTCCGGCTGTTGGTTTTCCTCTTAGTCAAGGGCCAAAAGGGTTGTCCGTTTGTAACTAGGTCCTTTGCTCCTTTGGGCAAGTCAGAGTGAGTTTCTTTTTGGCAGGGTGTAAGAATAGAGGCGAGCAACCCCGTATCCAGCTTGCCTGCTTCACTTTTGCTGCAACCTGCAACCAGTGTGCGCAATGCTGGTTATTGTTGGTTGTTGGGCAAGCTAATTAGGTAGGAGAGTTTGCTGGGGGGAAGGGGACACCGCAATATCTCCCTGAGGCTAGGCCGAGTTTGTGCTTGGTAGCGATGTCAATTTGGGAGTGAGGACATGGCGGACGAGCCACTAAAATTCAGTCACCTAAACCAAGGGCGCGCTCTGATTCTGACCTCTTCTTGATACCCCCTACACTTATTTTGCATTGGGGAGGTTCGCACGGAAGACACGACTTCCAACGGACCCCCCCCTGAAAAATGAGTGGGAGATGTCTTAATCAGGGGTCAACATTACCTGAATTGTCCCATGCCCAGTTTGGATGTGGCATACGTTGATCGTGGCTTAAATGATGGTTTTCTTCTTTTCACAGGCCCAAATCAACTGGTTTGCCTTTGCTTCCCTTCAACATGGCATCCCACAATAAAAGGGGGGGGCTATTTCAGGAATCGCCCATGTGTTCTCCTAATGGGATTGTTGAAAGGAATCCCTAATGGAAGCCGAGAGAATATGTTTCTTTTCAGGTGCCCAGGCGGTTTTCCTAAGTCAGGCGGGACTTGCTGGTGAGTTGAAGGCAGCACGCTTTTGCCCTGGCGACGCCTTATTATACTTGAACCCCAAGGCAAGGTTGTAGAAGAGAGAGTCCCAGTGGTTCAACGTTGGGCCCTGATCCCCTGTGTGTTTGCCCTTGGACAAATCTATGAACCCTCCAACATACCCTTCGAGCATATCCCGGAACCCGTATGAAAAGAGTTCTCATGTCGGGAGGTATGTTGGAGGGTTCGTGGACGAAGGGGTCCAACAAAAGGCCAGGGCCCTATGTAACCCTCGAGACTTTGCCCTTGATGCAACGCCTGCAACGCGTCGCACAGGTCAAGGGCCGAATGCTTTCGGAGACGCCGGGACTGCCAGTGAACGTGAGAGACGATCGTTTCGCCAAAGTTGTTTTTTTTTTTTTTTAACACCGACCCTTTAATATCTCATGCTTTGCATTACCGATGTGCCAATGTGTAGAGATGCCCCAGAATGTCTCAAAATCGGCCGAAATGGACCCTGCTTCATTTTGGCATAGATCACCCAGTATTGAAAGATGCCGTCCTGAACGGGCCACTTCCGTGTCAATCAAACCAATATGTATGAATCCTGGGTTCAAATGAGTGTTGGCCCAAACATGTGCATGCCACTCGTGCTGGCAGCAAACGGTTAACCCACCTTGGCAACTTACGACCACTTGCCCAAAGCGAATATTCTGTAGTCCTTGGAATGCGACTCAACTTTAGTATAAAGGTAGTTCCCGTGATGCCAAGACAAGCCTGGAATCAACCACATTGGCATCACAGAAGGATTTGTTGTTGTTACTTGCGTCGGGTTGGTTTAAAGTGAAACCAAACCACTTGGAAACCACACTTTTTGGGGGGTCCCCCTATTTTTGACCCACACCGCTTTGGCATCACCGGAAGTACGTGGCCCACGTTCCACTCTTCGGCAGAAACATCGCCCAGGTGGATTCGAACGGGGCCAGAGTGGAAGCTGAGCAGCGTGATGATGGCGCTGGAGAGTATGCAGCAGGCCTTCAATCGTTGACAGAAACTGACCTGTTTGCTCTTTTGGCCTTTTGCCTTTTGGGTTTCCTCCAGTATGCAGATCCCTTCTAACCAGCAAGAAGTTAGCTTAAGTGTTTGCAGGGGCTCAGAAATAACCTTGCTTATATTAGCAACTGACAGACCACTAGTCCATTGCCAGTTTGGCGTCGGACATGAGGGGCCGAAAGCCATGTCCTCTTGGGAGCACAAGTCATTGTGTTTGGGGCTCATGGCTCCTAGCTGGCTTCAAGCCACATGCGTGCTGCAGGACTCGACTCTGACACGGCCAGCCTGAAAAGCAAGCTCAGTTGTCCGAAGCCAACTTTCTAACCTTTGGGGTTTCCCTTTTGGGACGATTCTTTGCCAAGGGGGCAGCTGAGACCTTAAAGCCATGTTTTTGGTGGGCTGATGTGAAGGGACGTATATTTGTTTGAGACACGTGGCTTGCACAGCCCAAGCACAGGTTGCCCTGGCGTGGGTTTCCCTTTCGGGCCCAGAGTTCCATCCGGCACAGGCCTGAGCATCCCTTTCACACGGTGCCAAGCTGTGCTTGTGGGAACTGGGTTTTTGAGGACCCTTTCTGCAAGAAAGTGCCCTATTAAAGTGGTGCTAATCAGTAGTTTATAGGGGACGATGAGCGACTGGATCCGTTTGTGTTCAGCAAACGCCGACTTCCCCCCCCCCATGTTTTCCCGGGCTGCGGGGGGCCCCCTTTCACATCTACCCTCTTCGGGCCCCCAGAAATAGAGAAAGAAAGGACCTGGCATGGCGTGGCTCCCTGTGCTTTTCTGACAAGTGGCCAGGAGAAAGTGGATCAGGCGGAGAAGAACTTGAGGGCAGCAGCCCCAACCGATGCTACCCGTTTGGTGACCTCAGTCGTCCATGTTGGTTTGCTTTGGACAACACATATCGAAACAGTTAGCTGGAAAACATGAACAGAAGAATAAAAAAAACAGCCCTATATTTGAGCGATACAATACCCAAGAATTCAGGAAGCTATCGAACTGTTGGAGGGGGGGAAGTGGCAACCATGTCTGCTTTTGTTGGTGGACTTCCCTCAAATGTGTTGGTACCCCCTCTTGGTACCCCCTTTAATTGTGAAGAAGGTGCTCCTGTTTTAGACTGTGGTGTATGCATAGTATGCTTCAACACGGGGGCCTTCCTAAATTCAGAGAACTGTGGAGTGTAGACCTAACACAGCACCCAAATAGATTCCCAACCATACCCGCTTCAAACAACTGGCCCACGCACATAAAAAAGATTTGATACACTTTGGGTTCCCTTGAAACACCTAGACAAAGTCTCAAGAAAAAGCGAACCATCGTGTCCAATTCACAACTGAGTCGCCTTATCTTTTTTGTTTGTTCTTGGTTGGTTGGTGGCTGGCTGGCTGGGTGGCTGGCTGGCTGGCTGGCTGGCTGGCTGGCTGGCTGGTGGGTTGGTGTGTGGGCTAAGGGCTCGGTTGGTTGGTTCGTTGGTTGGCTGGGTTGGTTGGTTGGCTGGCAGGTTGGCTAGCTGCTTGCTTGTTTGGTTGGCGGGGCAGTGACAGGCCAGCATGCATTAATTTGTCATGCATTCATTGACTTGTTCATTCATTAATGCATTCATGCATTGTTGAATACATGATTTGGTTCATTCATTAATCTTGCTTTAAGTACCAGGTTTTGTTTGTATATGCCAGTCTGGTTTCCTATATGTTGTCTTTTTCTCTGGGATCCAAGTCATTTTCGTAAGGCCCCCGCTTCGCAAGGCCCCCGCAACCTCCGAGACCGTCACGGAGCTGCCGGCTACAACGCCGAAGGCCTCAGAGGTTTCGGGCGAATGCAGTAGACCTTCAGCGGGTTTATCCGTTTCGAGAAGGCTTTGGCGTTTCACTGTTCGGAGTCTATGTCTAGGTCCCCAGCAGTGCCCTTTTACCCTTTCTTTGGGGAGGGTGCCCCCTACTAAAATAGACTACAGAAAAAAGGGTACCTTATTCCCACCTCTCTACTGGAGGACCTAGATGTGTTTTTTTGGGTCATGTGGTTTTGCTGACACTAAAATTTGTTGCAGACGGTGCCATCTTCCCTATAGTGGGGATGATCGCACACATGCAAGTAAAGGACTCCCCATTTGCCTCCCACTTTCAGGTGGTTGGTATGGAGCTTTTTCAATTTGCATCCCACAACTAGACCTTCAGCGGGGCATTTATTGTTTCCAACTTGGTCAAAAACATATTATTGTATGGGCTCATATCACTTAAAGGTCATCCTCCCTTCATCCACCCTTCCATTATCTTTTGTGGGATGCGGGGAGGATGACCTTGAAGTGATAGGAGCCCCAGCGGTTTTCCCTGGTTCTAGGTTAGTACACTATCACAATGCACCCAACATGAACAACCCGCATCCGAGCAACGGTCCATATTTGAAGCCTCATTCACTGTAGTAAATGGGGTGACGTTAGGCACACTTACTAAATTTCCACTGTGAAATAGGGTGTCATTGACCAAGTTCGCATGTCAGTTGGGCATGCAAAACATAATGACCATACCTACTGTGTAAACCCTTGGTCTGGATCAGTTTGGGACTGTCGTGTCTCCCTGATACCCCCAAACTACAAGCCAAGTACAGCCATATATGGCCATGCAGGAGGCACGGTACGGCCCTGGGGTACTACCTCAGCAGTACATGAGTCCATGAGGTGAGTAATTGGGTAACTTACAATATGATTGGTCGTCTATTGTACGTTTAGGTAGGACATGGTGGGACAGCCCCGAATCTGTCGCAAAAACCGAGGAGGGACAACCCAATTTTGCCGATGTCCTCGTGGGAAAACAAGTTCATGTGTCCGTAAGCTTCAGCTGAGCTCAGAGTTCAGGGCCGCAACTGGTTTTATTTGTGCGCCAAGGGAATCGACGACCCCGGCGGCCAACTTGAACAACACCATTGCGCGGGCCTTGGTTTGCATGCCAACGATGCAAACAAGACCGTGGGTCTGATTTGAGAAACCAACAGGGATACATTTTTGCCAGACCCCCTGTTTCAAGGATTGTTGCAACATGTAGCAAGGTTGCTCTGAACCTCCAAAACGCAAAGATAGAAAATGAGTTACGGTGGTTCGTTTTGTGTTCCTTTTTCAGGGACCAAGCAATCCAGAATAACCAGTTGTTTTTTTTTGCTGAACATGCGGATTCAACCACTGACCAGCGTAGCGTTTCTCCCTTTGCTGACTTTGCTGTCATTGATTGGTTCAGATCAATGTATCTATTAGTTGTCAAGCTCTTGGGTCTGTAACCATGATTTGTCTGTCGGCGAGTCCAAAAAGCGTCCAGTATGTTGCAGACGTACCAGGCCGGGACGTTCAACCCAACGTGTTTGCGACCACTCACCAGCTAACGTGTTTTTGTTCAGTTTCTAGGCTCACACCTATGATCCCCCCTCAGGTTCCCTAAGGCTCCCGTGTTCCCATCCTCTTGGACCCACCTTCCATTGGGGTTCCCACACTTGACTCATTTTTCTGAGCAACTTATGGCGACGTCTGCAACGTCACCTATGAAGGTTTCTTTCATAGGGGTCTAGTTTGGCAAGGGCACGCGCTTAAAGAGGCCTTTCCCTCATCCTCTTGAAGAGAACGAGTTGCATGTGCCGTTGCTGGGAAATCCAGAGATCCTTGTCTTTGCAGCAGAGCATCGCAGGAGACATGGCGTGAGTTAACTCACGCATTGTGGAGCCAACAACAAGCCATGGCAAATTGACTCGCAAGACTTAGGGAATCAAGCGTAGCATTGTACTTGGGGCGCTGGTACATGCATGCCTAGAGCATGCCCTGATTACCAGTATTATTGCTTAAATTATTTGAACGCAGCCCCCCAAAGGCCCATAATGGCCATGGGTGGATACGTGGGTCTGCATATTTTCCCTTCAAATTTCAATCAGAGGGGAAAATCACTAGGGGCCTGGCTACCCCCGTACCTGATTTCAAGCAACCCATTTTGGAAAGGACAATCCAAAGTGAGTTGGCTGTGGGTGGGGCGATGATTTAATCTAAGGAACCCAGCACAAGGACTTTAACCCAGGGCCCCTTCATTACATGTATCAACCATCCCTGGCTTCTTGAGCAATGTTGGGAACCAACATCATGGTTGTTGCGAGCCTACTAAGCCAGGGTTGCCCAATTTTGACCTTGCCCCTCCGGTCTTGGGAGCAACCCTGGCAAAACATGAAAGGTCTTCTTCAGCAAGAGCATCCATCGGTGAACGACACAACAATCTCCTTTGCCAGCCACTGTCATACATGTTTTGCTCTTCTGACATTCGTGGAGCAACGGATGCCACAGCTCAGGGCGGTGGGTTCCGTTTCCCGTTGCAGCCGGAGGTTGCAGCATCAGATGGCAGCTCCACAGCCAAAGCAGCTGAAGGACGGCGCTGTCCGAATCGATGAACCTTCCATGTCAAAATATTTGTCTAACTGTGTGTTTGATTTTGAGTTGGTAGTCCTTTCACCCTGGTCCAAGCGGGAGGGAAAGGCAAAATCCATGTTTGGGGTCCCAGTCCGTGTTTTTGACACCATCCTGCCCACGAAAAGTGTTACGTTTCGCAGGGCATCGACGGAAGCACAAAGTAAAACCCATGGTAGGCGCTCGTTTTTAATCCATGGCTCCTCGTGTCAGGCCATTTCAAGTTACTAATCGGCTCGTGACTTTGAAAGCTATGATCACGAGAGAAACACGTGTGTAAGGAACTAGCTCCTCATACCAATCCACGACAAATAGTTCCCTCACACCATTCCATACCATCCCGACCATCCCTCCACCGCGGATCAAACACGGGACAATGTGCTCATGTGCATCAAGTACTAGGTCCCCCAGTAGTGCCCGGTTGCCCTTTTATGGGGGAGGGTTCCCCTACTAAAATTGACTACAGAAGAATGGGTACCCTTATTCTAACCTCTCTACTGGAGGACCTGGAATATTTGCCTCTTGTAGACCCAGCTTTGCAGGCCAGAGCACCTTTCTGGCGGGGATCACCGCACCGGTCTTGGACGAGGGTCAGGAGTCGAGCCGTGTGGGCGGTTTGTGGCTGAAGCAACCAGACCCAAAGTCCCAAAAGGAAACCAGTTGCTTCGTAGTCGGCTCAAGTTTGTTCATTCCCCTTCTAGCGAAGCAAGGATGATTGAACTTGAGCAGGGCTTGAGATACAATTGGGCCAGCAGCATAACCTTATTCTGGATACCTAGGAACTTCAAGAACCCTGTTGAACAACGTCTGAATTGGGGCGGGGTTTTGAACCGCTGGACATGGGAGAGTTCACCCTAGATTGGTTGCTTTTCCCACCTACGCGCTTGACATGTCGCACCCCGGGGGTGCCACGGTTCCCGTGTCTGTGGGAAAACGCCCTAACTAACCTCGGCTGCAATTTCCTAGCCCTTGCGCCCAAGAACCGGTCGAGCCAAACGATGGTTTGCCCGAAGTTACCTTTTGACCTTTCAGACCTGGACAGCTTTCCCAAAGCACACGTCATCCCGAACACAGATCGGTCATTTGCTTTTTTGGAAAATGGCTGATGACCAAGATATTTCCCACTTGCCAAGTGACGACTGTTTGCAGGGGGGTCCCCGTAAAAGTAAAGAGTCCGCAAGCAGGCAATTCCTACAGATTGTCAGAGTGCCTTGTATTTTGCAGCAGCTGACTAACCGCCAACAGGAGTGGGCACTTTGTTTTGACCGCATGCCCAGGGTCAACAGAATTCGGGAAGTACTGTCTGAGGGGTACAATGTTGGATCCCTTGTAAATCACGCACCTCTCTCTTCCTCGCCTGGGAGTACCAAGGGAATCCGCTTGAAAATGATCAAGTAGTCAGGGCATAAGACTCCCACTTTGGTATGACAGAAATGGTCATGTTCCACAACCATGTTCGACTAATCAGGGGAATGCGGATCTTCAAGATCTTGACAATGGGAAGGAGCTGGAGGAGACTCAACAAACCAGCCAAACATGTAAAAAAAGAGCGAGAAGTACATCTTATGGACTGTAGCTGGCTATTCCTGCAGCACTATCAGCGCAGCATAGCGCGTGGTGAGCATGTTTGAGTCAGGGGATAAAGGCTTTCCTTGCGTTTCCCCGGTGTGGTGTGTCGAGAATTTGGCAAATCAACCCCAAAAATACCACACCAAGTGGTGCCTTTGAATGAGGCTTTGACGTCTTCAAGCTTACACGGATGCATTGAACAACTCCTCACAAGAAAGCCCTAATATCATGGGCAAGGTGGTTTACCACCAGTTCGCCCCTACAATCACGACTAATATTCTGGATTTATACTGTTTGTCATTCCTCACCAGTCATACTGAGGGTTGAATCACTGTGGCTTTGCTGCACTAGGTAGAGAATGTAGGATTGCACCTGAAAGTTCCCTTCAAGGAAACCAAGGGGATAGTTTCCGGGGGCATTCCATGCCCCTCATTCCCTGATCGCAGCTCACCCCCGAGGTTTTGGCCGTTGCCTCCGTGGCGGTGGGGTGGCTCAGGGGCCGCCAGCTGGGCTGTCTGCTTCGGCGTCCATTTGCTGAACTGGATATTTGTGATTCGTCCCTGTTGGCTTTTAAGGGACTCTATCGCTACTGGAAATATATGTGTTCCAGGGGGCTGAAGCAAATGGAGGCTGGTGAAGATTCTCTTGTTTGACCTTCATGTTGTTCGCTGGACCTTTCCTGACCCCTGAAACCTACCCGGAGCCCGGCGAGTTGGTGAGAGCTTGTAGTGTTCTTCTTTTTGGGGAAAGCGGGCGTAGGCTACCACCTCCTAACTTCGCAAGGAACACCCAAGTGCGGAGCGGTGGCAACCCTTTTTTGTTGGTCGTTGCTGTAATTTACACCATGAACTCAGCCATTGGGGGTCCTCCCAAGCACCCAAAGCCATGTCCGATCAAGGCCATTAAGTGGTTCGGTTCCCATGTTGTTTCGCTATGGTAGTCAGGTCTCTAAAACCATCCGCCTTTCTAACCATGTCATTGCATGCTCGTTGGTCTGACTTGTAAGGATTTAACTCTAAAGACCTGAAGCAAGTTTCCACACTGCCAGGAGAATAGTTGAGATTGTCACAGGGGCAAGAATCAACCCAGTGCTGGTGCTTTATTTGGCATGGCTTCGTCTTATCTTGGTCTTATCCGGTCTCCACAACCACGAACGGAGCCATCAGCTCCAGGCCGTGATGGTCCGCCGCGCGCGGAACCGCCGCGCCGCCGCCATCTCCGGCTTTGAGGCGCGCTCGCTTTGGCCACAGGGGTCTTCTTTTTGCGGATGTTTGGGGCTTTATATGGCGGTATTGTGTTCTTTTGATGGCAGCCTTTGTGGGGATAGTTTAAAAGAGAAGCCAAAAGGACAGCACCAATTGTTGGGGTCCTTCTATTTTGACACATACCTATATGTTTTGCATGTTGATTGTTTTCTTTGGTCGCTGTTGATCAAGTGTGTTGTCGTTTAACAAAAGCAGCAAGGCGGAATGGGTGTGCCTCAAGACAAACAGCACACCATGTGTTTCGGGGATCGCTTTGAATGGTATCATGTTGGGCTGACTTCCTGAAGCCGGCCTCGTGACCTCTTATTGATAAACCCGTCCGATGTTTTGAAGGGGGGGTGTTCCCTCCAAAAGTGATGAATCCCCAGTAAAAGGGGACCCCCCTATTAATCAAACTGGCGTTGATTAATCCGGGATTAACATAATCATTACCTTGTTTGGCTCATTTTGCCCAGGACACCCAACAAATGATTATCGGTTTGTGTGTGGTCCATTGGGCACGTGGCCTGTGGTACTGCTGCTTCATGCAAGGCCCGCAAGGGGTAACTTCCAGCCCCAATGTGCTTGGAAGGGTAACTACTTACTTCCAGGTCCTTTTGCAAAGTAGGTGAGTTTCTGCGATTTCGACTCCTTGGACACCTTGAAGCATGAACTTGTACTCGGGGTTTGTCTCTGACCTGAGGGGAAAAAAAGGGGACGCCTCTAGCCTTCTGTAGGGTTTCTACAATTGTTCTGCGCTTTGGGAGTCATGTTTTTTGCTTGCCTTTTCTCCGAAGAAAGGTGTCAAAGGCAAGCCCTGCTGAAGCTGTTCTCAGTTTGACTGCGCTTGGGGGGGTGCTAAAGTGACACGAGTTCAAAGAGTACGGCCTTGGACCCGTCACGAACAGCCCCCGGCTTGGAACGACCATCCACTCACTTCCCTAGTTTCTGGAGTTAATTCTTTTGGGGAAAACTAATTCAGTAGGAAGCAACCAGTCTAGACTGCGTTTGGCCACTCCACTGAGGAAGTGACTTACTGCATTATTCATGAAGCAAGTGATTGAATATATTTTTGGATGTTTGATGTAAGTTCCCTTCTCCACTGTTGGCGGGTGTGGGCAGGGTGCAATGTCAAAAGCAGAATCGCCAGTTGGCTCCCCGTAAGCCCAGCCCCACAAGGGTTGCACTGACAAACCGGCCTTTCAATCTTCTGGTGTTCCCCTTGCTGCCAGCTGTTTTGGGTCAGGACCCCAGAACGTGATCCTTTAGTGTGGCACCACAGAGAAGTGTGTGTGTGTGTGTACTTTTTTACTTTTTTTTCTGTTGAACAGCAACATAAAGATGCTTAAGCCAAAACCATAGAAGGTCCAATCTAAACGTGCTTCTAACCACAAACTACTGGGTATGGAGGCTTTGTATCCATCTTTCCCTTGCGGGTAGTTGTTTAGGCGAATGGACATCCTTGGATCTCACCCCCGCCATCGCCAACATGAAGGTTGGGATCCTATGAAGCCCAAGCCAAAATAATCCATTCAGCTCCTTTGTTTGGCCCACAAATTGCATGGTGTTTGTCTTCGCGTAAGACTTCAGGGTACTTCAGATGGCTTCGCGCCCTCGCATCTTCCGTGCCCTCGCCGAGTCCATGCTCGGTTGAACAGCGAGCTGGACGTCTGAGGTTTTGAAAGGACAGCACCAGCCCTGCGGCATTGAGTCTGCGGGGTCTCCGGGGTCTCCGAAGATAGATTGCATTTTGGGGTAAACTAAATATATCTAAATATAGAATCAGACAATCAGATCATCCACATGGCTGTAGGTCAATTACAGGTACCGAAAATTGAACCCTGGCAAATGGAAACATGGACTAAAGCCTGCGGTTTGCTGGTGCCTTAATTCTGACCCATACCCACAGATCTATTTTGGGCGTGCCCTGGGGTTGGGCCAAGGTCGTTTGTTGTTGACAGCGTCCTTGGTGTGTTCTGTTGACTCTTTAAAACATGGGAGTATGAGGGTGTCTCTTTATGTGCTAGCGCCTCAAAAGGAAGGGAAAGCAGACAATTTGGCCCTTTTCCAAATCCATCTGAAAGTCCTGTTGGGACCGGAGGACTGAAGAGCGCAGATACAGTACAGAAGAGCGCTGTGCTCTTTGCTGCGCCGAGTTCTTGTTCAGACTTGCTGCCTTTGTTTGCTTGCGACAGGCGTCTCTGGTAGACGTTTTGCAGCAACCGTTTCAAGTGTTAGCCTTTGATTACCAACATGTTAGCAACTAAGTATCCGCAACAAGGAAGTTCCTGTAGTATGCCATGTTTCGTCGCTGGTTTACTCTCAATATGGGTGTGTGATTTTTTGAGGGTACCCTTGCTGTGATGGTTTCAATAAGAAACTCGATTGAAGACAGTTAAGCAGCTTTATATCAGCTTTTGCAGCTGCCTTGGAGACGGTTCCCCTCGGAGACGAACCCAGCTTGAGTCTGAGGCAGGATCCCTGTCTCCGATTTTCGGCGTGGCTGTGTCTCACTCCGCTGGCTCTCACAGGTTGGGACTTGCAAGCGTTTGGAAAGGAGAGGTCGTCCTATTTGACACGTGCCCTGAAAGTTGTTATCAGTTGTTGCTTTTGGGGTTAAGTTGGGTCTGTGAAACTCTGACGCCTCACATGCCTCAGAAAAAGACCTTCCCGACATTGGTGTCCAGGCCGCGGCTTTAAAAGAGCGGTTGCTCCAGCTCTTTTAGCGCACGAGTTGTCCGGGTGTTTGGTTCCTTTCACTTTCCCTACATTGCCTTGAAAACAACTCCAGAAGAGAACCCCCTCCAATTTTGAAACCAACCAAAGTGGCATGAACTCTGGAGGGCTCCAACACGAATTCGAATTGGGTGTCTTTGCGTGTGACATGGAACGGGGTGTTTGGAAAGGGGTGTTTGTGCCAGAACTCACAATGGCGCAAGAGGGGTTGTGCAGTCACGTGAGACACACTGAACACCTCCAACCGGGTGCGGCAAGAAAGACGCTCTGTTGATTCTTTTCCAGGGGGGGTTGGGATTGACTCTTTTTTAGCACCAGGGTTTGATTCTCACTCACACCATGCCTCGATGTGTCAGACCGTGGTTTACACACACAAACACAATCCTCACATTGCCACCACGTGAAAGACACATTGCCTTCACATCGAGTATGAGCAGCGGGCAGCTGTACGGATTGACAGGTCTCTTAAACCAATATGACAACGTGTTCGGCCATCAGACTCCTGGAATTGTGGAAATGTAAATTCAAGGGCCTCTCTCTCTCACCCAGGGAATCAGCTTCTGCGAGATGAAGTAGTCATGGGGAGGACCCACTCTGGTATCTCTCAGACAGGTTTTGTTCCAGGCTCCAGTTTTTGTTCCGCGGTCATTGTGGCTCCAAGTATCACAGAGGCAGGTGGCGCTGGGGGTTGCTCATCGGATGCGGGTGCTGACCTTAGCGGAGTGGGAGCTACGTTGCGCTCATCAGTCTGCAGATCCCAGGTGCCGCTTCTGTAGGCAGCCGGAGATTTTCATTTGAGCCACAATCACAACCTGGGAGGATGAAGGGTATGAAGGGACAGGCCCAGCCAAAATAAGTGCCGATACCTGCCCTTTTAATTCAACACGAGTTTTGGGTAAACTCCTTTACGAGGCTCGGTGCTTTGGGTTACCCAACGGGTTTTGCCACTGTGGGTGGACAATCCTGCACCACCTAAGAGCCCCTCCACTAGATGATACACTTTGTTTGGGGGTATTTTTTTGTTTGTTTTTTGTTGTTTGTTTTTGTTTTTTTTAATAGATTTGGGTGTTGTTGGGTATATTTGAGTATTTTTTGGGTTTAGTTGGGTGTTTGTTTGTGTATTTGGGTGCTTTTGGGTCTATTTTGGGTATCTGTCTGCCTGTGTTGGCTCCATTTTGGTCTCACAAGTCATCTTCCACGGCCCTGTGGCCTGCGCCACGCCTCGAGGCTTGGCGCCGCGGGACCAGACCCCCGGGTCGGTCCCCGGTTCGCGATGGACCCCGAGGCGCTGGAATGGCCCGGGCCTCGGAGAAATGGACGCCTCGTCTTAGAAATGGCTGTGGTTGTCAAAGCCGTTTTGGGATCCCACTTTGGTTGGTAGGTGAATTCACCCATGTTAGAACCTATTCTAGTGGTTGGATTGGGATGTTCACTGGGGGTACGATTTGGATTTTGACCCACAGCCAAATGCCTCCCACCCTTTGCACCTGGGAAACCTGGTCGCACCTTTAAAGGGAAGATGGTCTTCCAGGACCCACACATGGCGGGTCAAACATTTTTTGCTGGTGGGCTAGGGAATGTGGTTGAGTGAACCCGAAGGGGATTCCCTTGAAGGAAGCCGCAAGGGGATGGTTTGTAAGGGTCATTCCCTCATTCGCTGAGCACAAGCAAGTAAATGTACCAAGCATGGCACCTTGGAGGAAGACTGAAAGCTGCGCAACCCTAGCTCTTGAACTTTGAGCCACTGGCACATGAAATGGGTGGCTCGCCTTTTGAGGTAGCCTCCCTCCGTTTTTGACATGGAACCGGACAGGGAAATGGTCCCCTGAAAAGGACAATGGTCCCAACCACGACCCCCCGAACGTCAGGTTCCATGTGAATTGGTGGGAGAGGTACCCGGTTTTGGATGGTTTTAACGGGAATCCAAAAGGAATCCACCCATGTTCTTTTAGTTTTTTTGGGTTCCCCTATTTTGAGACATGCCAAGGACAAGCCTCGGATCGGTCGGTCTCCGCAGGTACTACCTGGATAGGAGCGGCCAGGAGTTCGGGCCCTTCCGCTCGGAGAAGATGAGGGCCTGGCGCTTCGGCCGCAGATCCGAAAAAAAATATCCAGTCGCACGCCCTTGTTATTTGCTTCGGTTTGTTAAGCAAAATAAGCTCAGGTGATATCCCCAACAGCACGTGGCGCTCTTTCTCGACCCTTGCGGAACCCTGCTGAACCTTACCGCGCAGAGCCGCGCCCGCAGAACCCCGCGGAGCCTGTGCGGAACCTTCGCGGAATACCTCTGAACCGCCCCGGATCGCCCCGGCCAACCCCGGAGCCTATTTGGGCTGAGACCCCAAAGCTGTTGGGGAAAACATGTTTATTGGCTTATTGGCTTGTTTATTGGCTTGTTCGATCACTACTGTTTTTCTGCTTGTTTCCCTTTAAAACCGAAATTCGCCAAAACTTGAGGCATGTTGCTGTGAATACTGGTATGTGCTGATGGTTATTCTTTCAAGGGGATATTTAAACAAAAATGCTCAACCCTCACAAAATACCATGATGGGCAGATCCTGCAGTTAGGTGGTTATCAACCAGTATTCATCGGGTTGTATCTTTCGCCCCTCCCACTAGGTTCAGACATTTTGTGCATCCACAGAACCTCCGCAGCGTTGGTACTGGAAATGACTCCGAACGAGTTTCCCATGAAAAGTATCAGCCTAATTATTAGCAGAAAGCGAGTTTGGTTTCCTTTTGGCTTTGATTGAAACGCCAGGGACCCAGGTTGTGTGTGTGTGTGCGTGTGTTTGACTTGGAGCTTAGTGTAATGGCTGCTTTGTTCTCTTTTGGCGTTTCCTTTAGGCATTCCAGCTGGAGTGGCGGCACGTTTTCTTTGCCCGTTGAGTGCACAAGGCAAACGAAAGTCGTTGTTCAGCGAGCCTCAAGTGGCACTTGCGGCAAGCAAGTTTAGTCAAGACCCAAAGATCCTCACGTATTTTAGGGTTGCTGTAAAGGACGCCTTGACACATTTCAGCCATTAATGTCACACTTGCCAGCTGATTTAGAGGATCCCCTTGTGAATATGGAAAGGATCCCCCTGAATCTCCAGGTCCGTGGAAAATGGCCGCGTTTGCAAAGTCGTTCGGTTTGAATGGATTAACATGATTAAACGCTAGCAACTTGTTGCGTAAACCCACTTTCCACAACCATTGCCGGCATCCAAACCGACCAAGTCCTTCGCTATGGTCCAGACGAGGTGAGATCCGATCCCAGGTTCGCGCATGGCTACTTTCCCATCGGCGACCAGCTCATCGTACGGCTGGACAGCTGGAAGAGACCCCTGGCCGCAATGGGTACAGAGATACAATTTTAGGTTTGAGTTTGGGGTGGCCCTAAACATCACTACTCGAAATAAAGGATTATATTAGTGCGCGATTGTTTCAGTGTCTGATGGTGATTGGGCTCAAGGGGAATTGCTCTCATAGGGATTCTACTAGAATGATTCTACAGACAATTGTTGGGTTGAATAGATTATCTTAAGTGGTCGGGTTCGCTAAAATTCGCCCAGAATCGAACGTATGTTTTTTTTAATTAGTTGGGGACAAAAGCTGAGGTAGCTAGGGGTGCTAGCGGTAACGCCGGGATGCCAAGGGTATGCTAAGATAGGGTTACGCCTTTGGCTTATTCCCGTGCAAGCCCGAGGACACATACCTGTCCGAGATCTGTATCCAGATGGTCAGCCCTGCCCGTTGAACCAACGGAGCCCTTGGCTGCCATCGGTTGGAGTCTTGGATGAGCTGCTTTAGAAACAACATGTGTAGTATCCCCTGCTTTACATGAGAAGCCCCTTTTGAGGATTCCCTCGGCCATGGTGGAACATTTGGTTTAGGGCCTTGTTCTGTGATGCCTTCGTGAATCCCTATTGAGTCACCGGAAGTCACAGGTAGTGGGAATCAACCACAGAACAGTATCACGGCAAGTCGGCCCATGTTCCTCAACCATCTTTCTACTTAGATGGTGTGGAGTTAGCTAAATGG